TCCCTTGTGTACTGGGGAGCAAGTCAAAGGTGAGGGGATGAGGCTGCATCTCCGTGACCGAATGCTTGCCTGACAGGAGGCCCTTTCTGATTGGAGAATACAGTGGATGTTTACTCATTACGCTAAAGACCACATTGCTATTAATCCTCCCGAAGGTACAGCGCGAACCTGTCCCACTGCTCCTGCCACTTTCTGAAGCAGTTCTACAAGTCCTCTTTCTCAAGTATCTACGCAGCATGTGATCAGGCTTTCTTGCAAGTGTCATCCAACGGAAGGCAGCGCTCTAAAGTGCTAAGGGGTATCCCCACTCCCCACCCACCTCACACGCCAGGCCTGGCCCCTTGTCACTTCTGGCTTTTCTCCAAATTGAGACGGCCTTGGAAGGTGACCACTGTGAATCGCTTTGCCTATTTGACACTGGAGAGTCAGCGATGCAATGAGGAAAGGTCACTCTAATCACAGGGTCGACAGTGTGGGCATTGATGGGAGAGGGGAAATGCATCTCGGGGGAGGAAGGTGGGATGTGGGCTCACCAGGTGCAGCACTGTATTTCTACCTTATACCAGGCTGAGACTGGACCATGATTTCTTTTACTGGCAAAATCAGTGGGAGTGTTGGGAACAAAGTTTATTTTGGGAATGGGAGTCAGTGTCCGTTTCTGTTCTCATGGAATTCTCATTCCTCAGAGTCTACCCCAAGTGCCTGCCCCTAGACTGGAGACCAGTCCCACGTTCTCCGAGATGCTGCCTCTGTTGCCATGGGAATGGTTCCCTTTTATTTCGCATCATCAGCTCCACCCAGTGATAACTACGAGAGATGCTCATAAAAGTCGTTTCTGGGAAAATGATGTACTTACCAGAACTGAAGCGCGGGAAATGAATCACACCCTTGCCGTGGGTGCTTCACCTCGAGCCTCCCTTCAGCTTTGGCTTCTCCCTACCTCACGCGCTCTTCCCTGCCAGAGACTTCTTGTGCCCTCAGTGCCCTGGGAGTTGCTATCTTCCTTTTGGACATAAAGTCACAGCATTGCTTTTGGTGCTCAACACAGCAGAGGATAAAATGTCCATGAGTTGAAGCCATTTTTGTATGCTGAAATTAGGGTGTCACGGCAGTGCGTCTTGGAAACTCGTCAGAACCCTACAGTCACAGTAACGCACCCCTTACACTGACCGGGTCCAAGCTGCTCAACAAGGACAAGGCTGTTCATGCCCCAGAGCTGGATCCGACACCACCTCCTCCCGGCTCCCACATAACGTGGGAGGTAGGGAGGGGAGAAGGGTCCCTGTCATCATGCTGAAGAAAACCCCCAGGTCCACAGGCGGGTCTCCTGTTCAGGGAGGGCGGGGCTCCAGCCTGTCTCACCTGCCTCTCTGTGAACCGCCTGTGTCCTGAATTTGCATGGAAAGGGTTTTTTGCATTGTTTTTTGTTTTTTTGTTTTCACGGTACCAGAGATTTGAGCTCAGGACCCTGCGCTTGCCAGGCAGGTGGCATGCAAAGTTCTGAATTCCGTCCATCATCAAGTCTGTGATGTCAAGAAAGATGGTAATCTCACACTGTAAACCTTTCTACCAGAGTTTTCTACAATGAACATGTTTAGTGGTGGAAGAGAAGCTACAGAGACCAGCGCACCTTGCAGGCACTGTAGGTGTAAAGAGAACAAAGAACAACAATGTGGACATTTGGAAAGGAAGTCTGAGCAGGCCCGGCAGGAGGGGAGAGGTGAGTGTGGTATAGTGAAGCCCGTGGCCCACACATCCGGGGGAGCTGCTTTCCTGGGAGCAGAGGTCAGCGAGCCTAACGCCCCAGCGAGCCTAACGCCCCAGAGAGCCCAGCCGAGCAGTGAGCACAGACAATCAAAGTTTTCTAGTGACATAATGATCATTATATCTTCAAAAGCACTTCAGCTTTCCTTCCAGCCCTTTCCATAGGACTAATTGATTAGGCCAAATAAATAGTCCTAATATGCTCCTCAGAAGCATTCATTCATATGTCCTATCTTGCATAACTATATGTGCTAATCTGAGCAACAGATCTGACAATAAAAATAGATATGTCATTCAGTGTCAATCAGATATCCCTGTTTTGAAAATCTGTAATATATGTATTAATATGTATTTGTAATATATGTATTAATATATGTTGCATGTTTATAAAAAAAAAGATTAAACAACAAAGAAGAGAGAAAAGAGAAAAAAGGAAAATGGTAGGGACAAAAACCATGCAGGTATATATAAGAGATGGATGAGGTGATTGGACTAAGAATTTACATCAGTTTTATGAAACTAGCAATTAATGTGTAGAATCCTCAAAAGCTAAAGAACAAGAAGACCAACTTTCATGAAGAAATGACTTTTTAAACAGATCCACCTGCCGTATGAATCTGAACAGTAGCAAGCATGCATGAACGCAGCTTCTGTTGAGCCACTCCTCGAATGTCCCTGCAGAGCTCCACACCACCAGGCCCTGGGGTCCCTGCCGGGCTGATTGCAGCCTCCTCTTTCAGCCTTCAGCACACCCAGCTCTGGAGCCCTCCAGCAGTGCGGGCTTCCTTGCTGACAGCAGGGAGAGGGCGCGGTCCCCTGGGAACAGACTGCACCTCAGTGCTTACTCTCTGGCCCACCACATGCAGAGAACAGAGGAAGCTTCACCTTCCTGCCAGGCACAGGCCTGACCCCAGCCCTACTCCTGGTGACACAGCCCCTGGTGAGTTTGTCCTCGCGGGGTGCAATGGATCCTGAGCTTCACGGCAGGATGAGAAACGCTGGTGTGTCAGTCTACACTGTGCAGGAAGGGACTTCTGCATCTGTGACTCTGACAGTTAAGCATACAGTCGCTGTTGGTGTGGAGAAGGAGAATCTGACCAAGGCAGCACCCTAGAGGTGGGAGGGCAATATTGGCCGTTTTCCTACCAACACTTGTGAAACAGTATAACAATATCCTTCTACCGGAAAAAAAAATAGATTCCATGATTCTACTTCCTCTGTCCTGAGCATGTTTGCACTCGCTGCCCCTGCAGTGTCCCCCACTCTGTTCCCAGCACTGTATTTCTCGGGAGCATAGACATGAGCTAGAGGGATCATTTTCTGACCCAAATATCCAAGCAGACTCATGTCACTCAACAATTTCAGTTTGCAAATTTCGGTGACGTAATTCTGACAGTTCCCTCCCGTGCTTTGTCATGGATGGCATATATATTTATTGGTACATGTTTGCTGTACAGGCGGACTTTCACCATTAATTTTCATGCTGAGGACTTGGTGCCACTGCTTTGCTGACACAAGGTGCTAGTAAGTTGACTCTGGGACAACAACTGACCATCTGAGCACACACTTGAGTAGTGATTACCTTAATGGGCCAGAGAGGACACCATTGGTGGTCAATCCGAGGATGGCTCGGTATCAGGGGCTCTTGTGGGAAAGTCATCAGCTGTGGAGACAATAAGCACCTTTAACCCAGCTGCTTCTCCCCAGGCAAACCAGGAGCCCCCTTCACAACGGTGGAGTTGTGTAAAAGAGGGCCAACACAGCCCGCCCCAGAGCCCCAGGAAGCCCTGAGGCTCCCTGCAGCCCACGCCTCCCTGCTCCTCTGTGAATGCCGCACACAGGGTTGCTCTGAAGTAGAAGCATCCTTCAGGGTGGGATCAAGATTTGTCCACCACCCGCAGGCTCAGCGCAGGCAGTGCGGCTCTGGGACACAGGGGACCTGGTGCTCTAACTCCCCTCCTTCTGTGGTTCTCCCACCTCCATTCCCTCCTTCCCTGGTTGTGGCTCAGAGCCTGCAGAGCTGGGGCCCAGGGGCACGGGGAACGCAGGGTGACGAAGGCCCCATGCTTCTCCAGCCTCATGTGCTGTGGTGCTCCTCTGGACCCTGTGCCTTCACTTTACTGTGTCTTGTGGTATCACAGGTCTCCTGGGCACGGAGAACAGAGCTGCCTGGCCACTGACAGAATGGGGTCAGGGCCTCCTCGCCTAAGACTGAGTTCCAGATGTTCGCTGGGCTGCGACAGCAGGTGAGGGAGGGAGTCCCAAGAGCTCTGGCACCTGTAGGTCCCCCAGAGGGCTGAGCTTGCAGCTCCAGGATTCTGTCTGGGACCACTGAATTCGGCAGTGATCTCAGTCACACTAGGGGGATCGGCTGTGCCCCCCTTGGACAGAAGGAAAGTGTCCAGCAGGCTCTGTGACTGGCACAGCAGAGTAACATTCTTTCCTGAGGACACCATGGGTCCTTGGTGCACCAAGAGGGAGGGAGGGGGTGGCAGGGAGCTGTCCTGGAGAGAAGGAGGGTGATGAAGGGCGGCCCCACCATGTTCCGAGCTCAGGCCTTGGCAGGGCTGTCTTTGAGGATCCTGGTGTCTGCCTGCCCTGTCTCCTCTGACTCTGCCCCTCCTGTCCCCCCCCTGTCTCTCTGCCTCTCTCTGTCCCTGACACCCCACCCTCACCCTGGCCATCACCTCCTGGGCTCCCCCACTAGGGCCTGTGCAGCCTGGGATCCTGACTGAGGGAGGCCTGGGCTCCTCACCTGGGATCAGGATGTCCGGAGGCTCCCTGGGAGCCGACCGCTAGGGAGAGAGGCTGTGTCAGCCAAAGCTTCTGTGTCGGCCCCCCTGGGCGAGGCTTCCAGGGCCAGGAGGAAGTCAGCCTGAGAGAGCCCAAGCTGGGGGTGCTGGTGAGGGCACTGGGGGAAGTCACTTGCCCCCTCCTTGGGCAGAGTGAATCTGTTATAGCTGATATCAGAGTGACACTGGAGGGTTAGGCTGTGTCCAGGGCCCAGGACAGGGCTCTGCTGGGTCAGCAGGGAGGGCTTCCTGGACAGCCCTGGAGGGAGGAGGAGCTGACTGAGGGGCTGGATCTCTGCCCTACTGTTCCTCCCTGTGGGTCTCCCTGTCTCACACTTGAAGTCTCATGTTTAGGAGATACTCTGATCCTCTGTCAGCTTAGAGTTCAGGCTCTGTCAATTTATTTCGTGTCTCAAATTTGTTCATTAGGCTGAACTTTCTCACCTGAGATTAGGAGCCTCAGCGCGTAGGTGGGCTCTGAGCTCACCTGGGCTTCACTCCTGTCATAGCCGTAGCATCTGAACATCCAGTCGTCGTTGGGAATCACGGGACCCACTGTGAACAGAGCCTGGAAATCCCCACTGTGTGCTGTTAGCCCAGCATTCAGGAGAGCTTGTCTCCTCCTTCCTTAATGAACCTGTCCCATCCCAGCTCTGACCCACACTGGAGGGTGCCCTTCTCTCCTGAGGCCACCACAGGGCTGAGCAGGGCTGAGAGGCTGGGTTTGCTGTAGACTCCTAGGAGAGAAGGAGCAGCATGAGAAATGGACTCGCACTTCCTGCTCTCCCCAGGGCTGGGCTGTGAGAGGGAAACACCCCTGAGAGCAGACCCTTCCTGAGGGCAGAGCCTGGGCTGGGGCCCTGAGTGTCCTCTCACCTGTCACCACCAGCTCCATTTGGTCACTGCTCTGACCAGGCAGGAGGGCTGGGATAGTAATGGTGACATTGACCTGCATTCTGCTCTGTCATGAATCAGATCAGGAGCTTGTCCTCATTCCCAGGTTTAATGGGGTCTATGTGCCTCAGGGCACTGAGGTTCCCACTTTGACCAGAAAGTATGCCAGGGCCTCCAGGGTCCCCTCACACCAGAGGGTCACAGGGTCCCCCCGTGATCGTGGCTCAGCCCAGAGCCTGGGTTTGGAGACGATCCTGCAGGGAAATCACAGCTGGGTCCCAGGACCTCCTCCTCCCCTCAGATCCCAGCTCTCAGCCCCAGGACCCACCAGCCTTCTCAGCCCCAGCCCCTACCTGCTGTGCTCCAGCCCCACTGTCCAGGGGTGGCCCTGTGTTCCCAGGAGGAGAAAGGACCCAAGACATCCACCTGCCTGTACTCGGGTCCTGGGGCCCAGCCCCAGCCCTGGAGGGGAGTTCCCGGCGAGAGATTCACCCTGGAACCTGAGCAGGTCCTCTCCTCCCTGGAACCTCCTGAGCCCCTGTGAACTGAGCTCCGCCCCAGACCAGGGCGCCTCCTCCCTTTTTCCCATCTCAACCAGGCAGAGCAGCGCTGTTGGGGGCAAGAGGGGAATCATGGTGCCTTCTCTCACTCTCCAGGTGTGCAGATTTCTGTGAGCTCAGTGAAGAGTAAGACAGACACACACAGTGCTCAGCCATAGGCTGGTCCTTCTTGTCACAGGGCCTCACCTCATCAGCCCTGCAGCAAGGGACACTGCCCTCTCCGGAAACCCGGCTCTCGCTTCCCCAGGACTGTGTCCGTGTGCACATGGGCGCTCCACAGAGCTTCAGGTGGAAACGGCGCGTCTCCTCCCCAGGGGTGATTTCCCTGGCCTGTCTTGTCCCTAACCCACGAATCCTCACATGTTGTTGAGGATTCGCACCATGTGTTACAGGTAGCATAAGTGAACACCCGTAGCTCACAGCAGTCATGCGAGTCACCACAGATAGCCGGCAGGTTTTTTACTAATTCTGGTGCATAAGTCATGCCATGAAGCAGCACAGGCTCCTACCCTTCTGGGCGTGGAGGCTGCGTAGCCGAGGTGGACCTGGCCGGGCTTGAGCCCTCCTCAGGGCAGGCTCCTCCTCAGGGCAGGCTCCTCACAGACCCAGGGAGATGCTGCTCTCTTAGCTTGAGCCTCTGGAGCTGCCACGCCCGTGGTCCCCACCTCCTGCTCCGTCCTAGAGCTGGGACTTGTGCTGCTCCAGCCTCTGCTGCCAGGTTCTCTCCTTCCTGACACCGCTCCTCCTATCTCTCCTCCTTTCCCAAAGCCTTGTGACCACCCGCGGCCCACTCCGATCATCTCCTGCCCGTGACTACTCACGTAAGCACATTTTCAGGGTCATTTTTCTCATGCAATGTCATGGAACCAAGGTTCTGGGGTGAAAACGTGGACACCCTCGGGGGGCATTATGCTGCCCACCCTGTGCTTCGGGAATGTCCTCTGTCCACTCTCAAGAGCCACTGCTCCCTCGTGAGAGGGAGGCAGCTGAGCACGTGTCCAGCAGGGCTGCCTCTTCAGGCAACACCCGGTCCGATGGACAGCGCAGGCTGTGTGCTGACTTGGCGATTCCCAGCTGAGTGCCTGGGCCCCATCCGAGGATATGAGAGGCCATCAGCTGTTTCCAGACAGGGGAGAGGCACATTGGAGTTGTGGCAGGATTTCTTGCCCATATTAGGGACCATATTAATTTCCCAGAATGCCTCCAAAGGCTGCTACTTCCTGTGAGATCCGACCAGCATGGTACCCTCAGTGTAATGCGCCAGAGATGTCTGCAGAGTGGAGGGAGCTCCTATGGCCTATGGCTCCAGGTCAGAAGACAGGCTGTGGTGTGCACGCAGACCTGCCACAGGACCGCAGAGAGGCACTGGTGGCCCTCGAAGCAGCTACACCTTGACTGAGAAGACACAGATTTGTGCCAGACCCATAGCTGTGGAATAAGTGGCGGGGTTGGGGATATTTTTCGTAATAATACAGTTTTATCGGGATCTACATTGGAATCACTACTGGATTTGTAGTACCTCCGCCCTTGCTCCCTGATCCTCTCTTGTGCAGAGGCCAAAGGGGCTGTTGCCTGAGGGCCGGGGGGTGCCCTGGAAGGGGCCAGGCCTGCACTCAGTCCTCCTAGAAATATGGAATGACACAGTCTCCTGTGCTGGCACGGAGAGGCCTCCCTCCTGCAGTGGCCTTTCTGGGCAGCGCAGCATCTCCTACCCCAGGGGTCTGGGGACCTCAGCCAGATTTTGAGGACATCTGCATCCTTGATCATATCAGAAGCGCTATAACAGCTGCACGGGGGTTTCAGAAACCGAGCCAGACCTTCCCAGCAGCAGCAGCAGCAGCGGCAGCGGTGCTGACACAAAAGAGTGGACACAAGCGGAGGGGAGAGAGGTTTATTTTGGCTCCTGGTTTCAGCAGGTTCAGACCATGTTGGGAGGCTCCTAGATAGAAATGCGTGGCCAAAGAACGTGGCAGGGGAAAGCTGCTTACCTTATGGTGGCCAGGCAGGAGGACAGGAGCGCCAGAGCTGGTGGCATGTGGTGTCACTTGTGCTCCCCAAGCAGCCCCCATCCCCAAACAGGAGATTTTTGTTGGAAAAAAAATTTTTTCTATATTTTAGGGAAGAGTCTACAGGGTGTTCAAGGTCTCACTACTAGATTGGACTCGTACTGATCCTCCTGTTTGCAGCCTCCCAAGAGCTGGGGTTACAGATGAGCACCACCACGCCCAGTCTCAATTGATCTCTCAGCATGGCCCGGGGACAGGACCAGCACAGCAGGCCTGGGGATCGAATCCCTGACCCTGAGCCTCCTTGCAAGTGCTTTAATCCACTGAACCATTTGGCCAGCCCTTTTGTTGGAAATTTTAGAGCTAAACAATCATATTTCAGCCCGAGTCCACAAAAGTCTCACATTCACCTCCATAGAAAGCGTATTCAGCCCATTTATAAGGGAAAGAGTTGCTGAAGACTTAACAGACACAGCATGGCTCTAAAGCCCATGCCCAAACCTGACAAATTCTTACCTTTGAGTTCCTGTAAAAATAAAAAAAGAAAGAGAAATACATCCAACGTACAGTGGGCTCAATATTCCTAGTCCAAGGGAAGAATAAGGCGACAGAGAGGAATGGGGCCAGGACAGGACTGCACCGCACAGTGCAGACGTTAAGCTTAGAGCTCCACCCCCGGCATCTGGCAGAGCGTGCGGTCAGTGCGGTGTCCAGGGCAGCCCTGCCCCGCGGCCTCCCTGGCTGCAGCACAGCTGGCCTCTGTGAGCAGCCGCAGCTTTCCTGAGCACCCGTCCGCACTCCATGCATCCCCCATTTCCAGGGACCTCCACTATGCTCTGACCTCCCTCACACAGCTTCATGCGCTGTCCTCTCTCTGATGTGATGCTTGCTTCCCCGACTTCCTTCTGGCAGCCTCACTGACCCCACAACCCTTCCACATCTCTCGTGCCCAGGAATCCAGCAGCGTGTGGCTGATGCCAAGGGCTCCGCTGTTACTGTGGGTGGCAGCCAGGCCTGCTTCAACGGTGGCTGCAGTGTCCGCTGATTTCCTGCATGAGTGGGCAGCAGCCCTGGTCTCCTGGGCTTCAACTCTGCAGCCACTTCCTTTCTTGTGAAACAGTACTTTTCAAATCCCTCAGCTCACTTTCTTGCCTTTGACTGTCACTGTAGACCTGGCGAAACGTGGCCGGCGGTGCTCACTCCACAACCTGAACTGGTGCTCACTTAGAGTCTTCTCCATAGAGGATGCCGCGTGGAAATTCAAGCTCAGGTCTCCATGTCGTCTTGGGATCCTGTGTGGACTGGCAGTGCAAGCAACTGTGCGAATAGACCTTGGCGTGACTTTCTGTGCGGCCGCAGTGCACAGCTGGTGTTGGTGAGTGAGGTGACCGAAGGTTGATGGAAAAGAAGGGGATCCTGGGCAGGATCTGGAGCTGCGTTGGTCCTGGGGTCTCCAGAGACGGCGCTGCAGGGTGCTGAAGGAGATTTTGAGGTCCTTGACTAATTCCCAGGACAGAGCCCTGCCGGACACCTGGTGATGACGTTCTGGGCCCGCATTTCAACTGGAACACCTCTCCGGTGATGTTGTCCCTCTCTTCTCCTACTTGGTGAGTGTTGGCTTCAGTTGTTTGGGTAATTTTATTTCTGCCAGGTTTCTCCCAGTAAAATTTTCATCTGCTTTACATAAAGAATAATCGATTTGTAGCAGGATTCCATGGTTAGTGCAAAAACATGCTGTGCATATAATGTTCAGTCACTAATTTTAAGCTCACTGGTGTTTCAGAAATCTTGGATTTTATCACCTGCCACGACAATTTTGGATTCGCCCGTGACACAGGTAACCAAGTGGCCTCGGAGAGTGGAGGGAGCGCTGTAGGATGCAGGCAGGCCCACAGCAGTTCGTCGCCTCAAGTCTGAGCCCCAGTCTGGGATAGAGAAACTGTGAAATAGAGTTTCTGACAGGGGAGGGAGTTGAACCAAGGCACCTGCTCAAAGGTGACAGCTTCACAACTTTGAGCTCACAGTTGGACTCGGCAGGCCGGGCAGTCAAGGACCAGGGGCTGGGAAGCAGCTCGTCCAGGAGGGGGGCTGGGCGTGCGCGGCGAGGCGCACGGACTGCGGTGGTCTTGCGGGTCAGCCAGGCTCAAGCAAGAACCGCTGAGCTGGGGGGCGGGGCTCCGCCTGGCTGAGCCCCTGGAGTGGAAGGCTCTCTCTTTCTGTCTCACCAACTTACATCGTAGGAAAAGCTTTTCCTGCCCCAGGTGTGCTCTTGCCGGATAAACAGCAGTGTCCTTCTTCTTTGAAATCCCTGCGGAATGTGGTTGGCCCCCACTCTTGCATCAGTATCCAGTTTTTCTAGCCCCCTTTTGTCTTGGCTTTAGTAGTTTGTGCTTTTCACTAAACACCACATCCTGGAACTCACTCCAGACAAAGGCAACCTCCTACTTTTTTACAGAGACAAACTCTTCCATGTGGAGAATGAATTTAACTCATGC